CTGGCCAAGCGAGTTAGCATGTCTACTTGAATCTGGAGCATTGTAAGGATAGTCTCCGAGCTTGGAGTAAGCATAAGTTTGGTAATAATAGAAAAATTTTACAGGAGCTTTTGAAAAATTTGTGTTCGTGTCATTCTCTTGTCCTTACTGAGGTTAATTTGCGAAGAGAGGCTGATTTATGTTCTCAAATTGATGCTCTCAGATGTAGAGAGGAGCACTATTGGAGGCAACGGTCTAGAATTAGTTGGCTAAAGGGTGGGGATCAGAATACTAGATTCTTCCGTTTGTCTACTCTCCAACGACATAATTAGAATACTATTGTTAGAATCATGAACGATGCTAAGGCTTGGATTGAAGGTGAGAAGGAGCTGAATTCTCATATTACAGATTATTTTCAACGTCTGTTCACATCTGTTGGGGCTAGAGACTTCACTAAAGCTTTGCAGGCAGGCAGTCCCAAGGTTTCTACAGCTATGAATCAAAGTTTACTTCGCAAGCTCACGCTTAGGGAAGTTCGGTGTGCGGTCTTTGAGTTGGGGCACATTGTGGGGGTAGGATGTCTTTCTTATGGTTAAAGAATTCCTTGAAGGAGGTTTTTCCCTGAATCGTACAAACATTGTTCTTATCTCGAAGGAAGCCTCACCTGAAACAATCTCTCAATTCCGTTCTATTGCTTTGTGTAACTTCGCTTACAAGGTCATCTCTAAAGTTCTAGTGAACAAGTTGAAGCCTTTGATGAGTTCTATTATTTCCCCAACCAGGCAGCCTTTATTCCTAATCGCCAAATTTAGGATAATATTTTTATTGCTAATGAAGTTTTTCACCATCTTAAAGGTCAAAAAAAGGGTACAGAGCCGGAGCTGGCTATTAAGATGGACATTAGTAAAACCTATGATAGGGTTGAATGGGATTTTCTGGAAGCTACTATGTTATCACTGGGGTTTGATAGGCGATGGGTGAATTTGATTATGTAATGTGTTTCTACTGTGCCTTTTACCGTGCTGCTAAATGGGGCCCGCCAAGGTGAAGTTTAGCTGCAACGGGGCTTGCGACAAGGGGATCCTTTGTCCCCTTATCTTTTTCTGTTTGTCGTTGATGTGCTGACTCTCTTTTCTTCCTCAAGGCTGAGGATGGTTGTGTCAGGGAATTCCTCAGGACTCTCCAATGCTATTGTGTTGCTTTAGGTCAAAGTGCCAATTTACAGAAATCTAGTATCATTTTCTTGGCAAATTCTTCTCATGAGCAAAGGAGTCGTCTATGCCTTCATTTGGGGATGAAGTCTCTTCCTCACCAGTCTAAATATTTGGGCATTCCTACCATGTGGGGTCGTTCACGGAGTGAGGTGTTTAGGTATATTTTGGATTGTGTTGCAAAAAACTTCAAGGCTGGAAAGAATCATGTTTAACACATGCGGGGTAGGAAGTCCTAATAAAGGCGGTGATTCAAGCTATCCCTAACTATGTTATGTCTGTTGTTGCATTTCCTAATAGCTTCTATAACAAGCTTAATGGCTATGTTCGACATTTTTGGTGGAAGGGGTCTATGGAGGGTAATGGGATATCTTGGAAGAAGTGGGGGAAAATGACCGAATCCAAGAAGGCTAGGGGCGTGGGATTCAAGGATTTCAAGTTATTTAATCAGGCTCTCCTAGCTAAACAAGGCTAGAGACTCTTGTCTTAACCTGATTCCTTTTGAGCGAAGTTTGTGAAGGCCATCTATTATCCTAATGGGAACTTTATGCATGCCAGGAGGGGTCATCAACCTTCCTGGGTATGGTGCAGCCTCCTTCATGGAAGAACTTTGCTTGATAAAGGCATTATGTGGCAAATTGAGGATAGGAAAGAGGTTAGCTTTTGGACTGATAAATGGGTCCCCCTTTCTCCTTCCTTGACTGTTCAATCTCCTAAACCCATTGATAGTAGGATTAAAAGGTGGCTGATGTTATTAATTTGGATCCTTGTAGATGGGATATTTCTGGTTTGGTTGATGTTATTTCAAAGGCGGATTTATCTGCTATAAAATCTATTCCCCTTTCATTCAGAGGAGGAGTTGATAAACGTGTCTGGTGGCCAAGCAACAAGGGGCTCGATTCTGTCAAATCCGGGTATATGTTAGGCAACAAACAGTTGCTGCCCTCCCTGGATTGCAACTCTTCTATTTCTCCTCATCTCAAGCTCTGGCAGGTGGTCTGGAACATGAAGGCCTTACCAAAGGTGAGACATTTTTGGTGGAGAGCTTGCCACAATATTCTTGCTACTGAGGAGAACCTTTTTAAACGTAAGTGTGTTGCTTCTCCATGCTGCCCTATTTGTTTGTCTTTTCCTGAATCTATTGAACATCTTTTGTTTGAGTGCGAGTGGACCAAGAGGATCTGGTTTGGAATGATTCTGTTTGTTGGGAGGACTGAGGACTCTTCATGTCTGTGACACAACGGTCCTCTTGTCTATTGGAGATGGTGGAGGATGTTGCAAGTAGATTGGTGTTTTTGGGGAAATTGGCAACGGTGGGTTGGGTTATTTGGAAAACCAGGAACCAAAAAGTGTTCTGTGATGAAGAGATCAATGTTGTAGCCTCACTTTTGCGTGCTCAGAGCCTGTGGAGGGACCAGTTTTGTGGGTCTGCTACTGGGGATGCGAGGTCTGATAGTCTTGTGGATGCTGAGGTGCCTCCCCCCTCCCTTGGTTCTGATGTCCTCTTTTGTTGTGGTGGTGCTTTCAATTCACCTTCTGGGAATGCTGCTTGTGGAGTGGTGGTGTGTACTGTAGGTGGTGAGTTGATTTTTGGAGCAACCAAGTCTTTTTCTGCTGGGTCTTCTTTGTCATCTGAAACCGAAGCTGTCCGCCAAGCTTGTATTCTTGCTAATGCTCTTTTTCTGACTAATGCTACTGTTATGAATGATTGTTTGTCTATCATTAAATTAAGTGTTGCAGAAGATGCTCCCCCTTGGAGATTAGGGTCATAATGGATGATATTAGATTTTTTGGTTACATAACCTTAGCTTTTTACATAAACTACGAGCCTGTAATAAGGTTGCTCATTGGGTGATAGCTTCTAAGCTAACCAACTCTCTTCTTTGGATTGGTTAGGCTCCCTCCCTCCCGAACTTATGACTTCTCTTTTGTCTGACTGTAATTTGAATTTTTCTACGTAATTAATGTTATCTTCTCTTTCTTTGATCAAAAAAATATTAGTATGTCATCTGCAAACATCAAATGGGTGATTAGAGCACAATTCCTTGCTATCTTAATGTCATTCAGCTTCCTCGAAACAACTTATTTATGTAGCAACCTGGATAAGATTTCAAAGAAAATGACAAATAATGTGGGAGAGAGTGGGTCACCTTGTCTGATTCATCTTTGTGCCTAGAAGTTACCAAAAGGGCTGCCATTATGTAGGATAGAAAATGATGTTGTGGAAAGACATTGACGAATGAGAAAGGTAAAAATTGATGGAAACCCCAATAGAGTGAGTATTTTGAGTAAAAATGGTCATTCTACTCTATCAAATGCTTTAGACATGTCAAGTTTAATCATCATTAGAGCACCTTTCCCTTTTATCCTCTTCATTTGGTGCACTATTTTCTGAGTTAGCACTATGTTCTCAGCAATACCTCTCCCTGGAGCAAAGACAGTTTGGTTTGGTGTGATGAGTTTGTCCAGGTGGGGTCTTAATCTATTGGCTAGAATCTTAGAGATCATCTTATAAGCAACGTCTTTCGGGATGAGATATATATTGGTTATGTTAATTTTCCTAAGCACGGGGGCAATTAGGTCCCTATTTATTGAGTGCCAATAAAATTACTCTAATTTTTACTCAAATTTAAGTCCCCTTAGAGATGCTCTAATACTCATTTGAATCAACTTGCCCCCTATAGTGTGCGATTTGTACTTGACCTTTTTTTTGTAAAGAATATTATGCCATCCTAAATCTACGATTCCCTCACTAATTCCGTAGCCCCTTGCAGTATTAAATCCGTTCAAATACTTTTTATTTTTCTTATGGCATATCATCCACCATTAACGAGAAAAAATCCATTTATATACAATAAATCCTGCTTAAATTTATGTTTGATGATCTACTAAAATAAATAAATAAATAAATAGAAAATATATTGAAGATAATTTCACTCTCCTCCTCGCACAAGTTAAGACCAATAAACTATAATATATGCCCAATAAATAGTTATAACCCATTAATTTATCAAAAATTCTTAAAAAATTCAAATTATGCATATGACAAACTAGTGTTGTCACAACATTTCTTTGGGTACCTACCACAGCTGATATCGCCATGTGGTATGACTAACTCCCGAAATTTATTTATTTTTGATAAGTAGACAAGAGGTAATTCATCCCCCATATTAATTCCGACCCCACGGGCAGGAAGGAACAGATCTTCCCTCATTTTCAGAGAACTGGTGACCACAGGGCAATTCTTCACGGCACAAGGCATCCGAGAGCTAGAAAGAGAGAGACCGTAAGGTCCTTAACTTGGCAAAAAACATTAGAAGACCTAACATCCTTTAACACACATTTATATATTTTCCTCAATAAATAGATCACTGCACAAGAGTTCAACCAAGACAGATCAATTTCCCTCCAATACTTACATATCATAACTATGGCTTTCGACCTAAATGATTTCAATTTCAACCAATCAGAAACCAAATTTCCGAAAAATTAGTTAACAAACAGGTAAGATGTGGGAAAAAGGGAGAAGCAATGAGATTAAAAAAAGATTGAAAAGTGAACCTTCTTGAAACATAAAGGACAAATTACCAAATTAAAGTCATTAGAAATCAATGTAAACCACAAATAATGTTCATCAAGAACACAAGCAGAAGTCCTCTTTAGTTGGACAATTAGCCCGCCCTGTTGATAATTGTACATATATAGACTATTTTCAAGCACACAAACCCTTCACGACAAGTTCCATTGGGGCAAAAACAATTTTGAAGGGAAAAATTTTGGTAAAAAAGAGTTGGGAATACCAGGCTGACCTTAGAGAAAGCCTCCATCAGTCCACTTACCATCTGATTTCCCATTGTGACCCACTGCCTTGCTATCAGGTGCGCTCTGGTAGAAATTATCGAACCCATCATCTTTACCATCATCCCAGCCTGCCCAGCTGTCCCCATTATGGGTTGTTTTCCCCTTAGATGTTTCTTCCTTCGAATTGTCCTTACTATCCCAATCATCCCAAGAGCCTGAACTGACAGAATTAACATGGCTACCAGATGAGGGCTGCCCGCCAGTAGAATTCCATCCTTTTGACTCCTGTCCAAACTCCTGGTAGTAACCATTACCCTGGCTTTCATTACGTTCCCAGCCATCGTTCTTCCAGCTGACACCCTCTTTTGTGTACTCCTCAACCTTCTGTGAAGCCAATGCCATTACCCCTTTCATGATCCCCCATGTCTTCTGTCCAATCTCTGTCGTTTTTGCGGTGACAACATTGACGGTTTCATTCATCTTGTGATCATATCCTCCCTCTCTCACCTGTAAGATGGGGTTACACATGCATCTTTCTTCATTTGTTCATACATAACTTCCAAGATCATTGAGGCAATAGCAAACATTCTATAGAACATATCCACAAGAAGCAAAATCCAAAGTTTTAGGAGGTAAGAGGTAAATGCACACAACTTGAAAGGGACTTCACCCAAGGAATATGTTCAGCTTACACAAAATATATTAAGCCCAAAGCAATCAATAGTCATGACATCAAACAGTCATTTTTACACACATAAAAAATAATACCAACAAATATCAAATTATTCAAAAGGAAATAGTATTTCTAAAAAGCTCAATTATTTAATTACCAACATACACTTACCTGGTCTGTTAAGTTTTCTGCCCATGGTACTCCTTAGCTTTCAAAAAGGAGCACATGAAAATGTCTCACCTCTAAACAGAGCTACAACATCTATAGCTATGTCTTCAGAAAATCAGTGATCTGCTACTTAAGCACTTTGACGTCTCTTCAAGAATGAAAGGAGGCTTCGCAAACTAAGAGGGAGACATCACACACAAATGTATAGGGAGAATGACAGACTTGATACAACTGTGGATAACTCAGCAGGAGTCAAGAAACTCTACTCCGAAACTAATTTATTCTCAAGCCACCAATTAGCCTATATACACCTCCATATATGTCATGGACTAATTTGCCACTAGATACTGGCAGATGAGCAAATAAGAATTTATCAAAAATCAATGAAAAGAAACACTATCTCCATTGCGAACAAAATAATCATTTTTGAAGCAGAAAAGGTGATGATGACTGATAAGAGCAAAGAGATTAGTGACTACAACTGTCACCGTAGGAGCAAAACTCAGACCTGGGTTAGATTTTAGCCACCAATTTTGGTTTAATCTTTAATTTCTTAATTCTATGATTTCATTATTATTTCTCTGTATAGAATTGGACTTCTTGGAACAGCCTGTAACCATTAGGTTTGTCGTAGTAGAGGAATTTAGCGTTAGCATTAACGAGATACAACACAAAAAGGGAATTTCCCCTTTCTCTCTCTCAGCTCTCCTCTCTCTAAGTCTACTCTTGCTCTCACTCTCCATCTTCCTCTCTCTCTCTCCCTCTCCCCCCCACCCTCCCCCAACTCTCTTCTGTTTTTGATGTACTTTTTCATGAGGTGTATAACACGACAGGTAGTAGTCACCAAAAACACCAAATGTTATGTGATGTGAACCTAAATGCATCACATCTACATCCAAAGCAGAACCCTCAGACCTGGCAAATTAATTCAGTAAAATATATCATTTGAAGGAAAATAATCTAGTGAAGGCCCGCTTATTAGAACAGAAAAACTCACTTCAGTTCAAAACAATAGGGAGTTATTTGTACATAATTATATTTAGGTTAGCAATGGAAAGGGAGGTAAAAAGTGATTAGATTTTTCTTATTGATTAACTATTCGTTCTTCTTGCTTGTGGAAAAGCTGAAACAATAGTGTACTTGTTCACATCGTGAAGGATGGGAGAGGGACAGTGGTAGAAATATCAAAGAAGAGTACACCTAGACACTATTGCCACCAAGACACACAATGCAGCCACCTTGCCCAGACAGAGTATTTCCAATTTTCCATGCACCCACAACCCAAAGTCATGGCATGAATGTGTCTAGATTCTAGCGAATTATACTACTCTTCATGCACTAGAATTTTTGGATTCAAAGCAGATGCAGCACCATGGCCTATTCAAAATATACCAGTGCATATAAAATCATTACATTTACTCCATCTCTCACCCTCCAATATCAACTCCCCACGGAGGCAAGTTGCACATGAAGACAAGATTATCCCTAAAACCACAAATATATCAGTTGAAGTCATCAAATGTGGATGAGAAGAATATCACAACCCATATACCTACAATATCATGATGGACTAATTACTTTAGATGTCCGTGAAGAAGCCACCAACAAACACACACAATTTTTGAGGCCCACCAGAAAAAGGAAATAGGATTATTATGACATTTATTTCAGACAAATAAAAAATTAGAAAATGCCTTATAAGAAGTTTTATTAGTATGGGATACAATAAAATCACATTTTTTGTAAGAGAATCACTATCTACGAATCGCTTAAAATTGTGTCAAACCATATTACCATGATCCATGATCAAGAACGCTCATAATAACTAACAACAATATTTGGAGCATGGAAATACTTCAATTGATCACATGCAGTAATCTCACAGAAAGAGAGCAAAAGAGATGCATCGTAAATAATATATTCAGCTGTGCCAATTTTAATTTTCAGTTTACCTTTACACGAGAGACACAATTACAAGTTCTTTAACCTTGATAGGCTAAACCATATTTGGATATCAAATTGCAGCAATTGATTTGTATGCACAGAAGGTTGTCGTGCTCTGACTTCAAGCTACCTCCAAACTCCAATGAGTATGCTAGCAGGTAGTACAAACCATAAAATAAATAATAATAATCCCTGCTTTACTATGATGATATGGTGACTGTTTTAACATCCCCCCAGGTAGTATTTCAAGCAGTTAAGTTCTAAACAAACAATAAGATTGCAGCACGGAGCATGCAGTATGTAGTTTTCCCTAAATGACCAATTAATGATTGCATGCTGACATGAACGTAGATTCACTTGGAGACCTCCACAATTATTGAAGCAAGAGGTAACTAAAAGCCTATAATAGCTTAGCAAAATGGTAATCCAATTCAAATGAAAATGTAAAGGCAAACACCTTGGAAGTGAGCTCCTTTGTCCCCGCCTGAACAACATTAGCAGCCGACTGGGCCGCCGACGCAGCAACCATAGACAACCGGCCAAATCCCTATACAACAACACGCAATTACCCCATCGATACACGTTACACCTCTATCCAAAAACTTAAGCTTTTATGATGGTTCATCAATCAGCAATTCACATCTTCGCCAACCAAAAAATTACACATATATACATTCAAATTACCTGAGTAACAGTAGAAAGGACATCCCCTTGGGGATCATTCCTCGGCATTGGCGCGGGATTTGATCCGAATCCCACATACTTTCCCCCTTGCGACGGAGGAATCCCCTCCGGTCTCGATGAATTCTCCGCGATTTTACCTGCAAAAAAACTCTCTTTATTCGCGGCCGATGCCTCTAACTGCCCCCGCGTATAAATATCCTGCGTCGATCTCGACCTCGTCGGCCCACCAACCCCTCCACCTCCACCACTCCTAAAATCCCCCACCGTCTGATTCCTCCTCATATCCGATCCCGACGATCTAGAACCACCATCATCATAATTATCCCAGTTATCCCACCCTCCATTTCCCCCAATATTACCATTCCTACCACCACCACCGCCATTCAACGGCGGTTTATTATTATAACTACTCTTATTCTTTCCAGCTCCGTCTAGGTTTTCCTTTACAACCGGTGGGTCCCGCCACGATCGACCCTCGGCTAGGGCTTGGATTCGATCGCGATAAATCGAAGCGGCATTGGTGTTGTATTTCGTAATTATATCGGTTTCCTTGGCGATTCCATACTGTGTCAAGAACTTATTGAGATTATCGTTGCCTCCGAGCTCCATTTTCTTCAGCTGGATTTCGGACCAGGAGTCCATGGTGACGGATCGGACGAAACTGATGTGGACACCGAGCCGCGATGTTTTCCGGAGCATTCTAAGCACATGAAGACGCCGTAGGAGACGGAGGCCCATTGAGGGTTCTTCTGGGAACAGTCTACCGCAGATCTTGTTCCCAGGCTGCGCTTGGAGATCTCGGAGGCGCCGCGATGCCGCCATTACAATCTGGATCGGTGTTGATCGCGATCTTTCAGATCGGATCTGTCAACAAATTGAAGAAATTGTGTGAAACAGACAGAAAATTAGATCATAGATTGTGTGTATGTTGATTGAATAGTGACAAAACGTTAAATCGAGAGAGAGAGAGAGAGAGAGAGAGAGAGAACCTTTTCCTTTCGCCGACACCGTCAAAACGCTTGAGGTGGAAAAATGGGTGGTGCACTAAGTACATTGCTTGGCCATAGACCACTGTCATTCCCTTTAACAAAATTTTTAACAGTAATTTACAATAACCTCCCCTGAGATATGTGCGAATAAAAACCAGACCTCTTAAATTACTCAGCACTCCCTACTCACATAGGTATTACTATTAGCAGCATGTTCGGGAACACATCGTAGCATGATTTATTATTATTTTTTTATTGTATTTTTAGATAAATATATCTGAATTAATTTATATATGCACATCTCCGCATGACTAAGAATTAGGTGGCACACATGTGCACTATATGAAAATGATAGATTTAAAAGGTAAGACATTGATTAAAAAAATAAAGAAGGTGAGATAAAACCGAAAAAAAATAAAATTGTGAAATAAGCTGATCAATATAAGA